GGCTGGGAGGGGCGGGGGCGGGGCCAGGCTTGGTCCGCGCCTTTGTGCCCGGCGCGCGCTCTCTGCCCGCTCCGGCTGCAGCGCCCGCTGCATCAATAATTCAGAGCGGCGGCGGCGGCGGCAGCGGCGAGTGCGGACAGGAGGCGGCGGCAACAGCGGGGACCAGGCAGCAGAGGCTATGCATCCAAGTGCGGCTGGGCGGCCGCGGCACCCCTGAGGCCCGGGCGGGGCTCCGGGTGCACCGCGCGAGGGGACGTTTGTCCTGGAGTCCGAGGGAGAGGCGTAGCGGCCCGGGAGGCGTCGGAGGAGCTGTACACAGAGCTGAGGAGGGGGCTTCGGAGCAGGGCTGGGGAGGGGGGCGGCTGGCGTTGGCAGCCCCCGGGGTGGGGGGCGGGGTGGGCGCCGGCGGCGCGATGCTGGGCGTCGTGGAGCTGCTGCTGTTGGGGGCTGTGTGGCTGGCAGGCCCAGCCCGCGGGCAAAATGAGACAGAGCCCATCGTGCTGGAGGGCAAGTGTCTGGTGGTGTGTGACTCCAACCCCACGTCTGACCCTACGGGCACTGCTCTGGGCATCTCCGTGCGCTCGGGCAGCGCCAAGGTGGCTTTCTCTGCCATCAGGAGCACCAACCATGAGCCGTCCGAGATGAGTAATCGCACCATGATCATCTACTTCGACCAGGTGAGTTCCCCGTTCTCTGGCAGCATCCAGAACGGATTAGTGAGGGGGTGACAGGGAGAGCGTGGAAATCAGATGGGGTATCTTCTCCAAGGGCTCTGCGGAGGCGCGAGGACCACGCTGGGACGGGCTCCGGTCTATCCCCTTTCGTTCCTGTCTCCCCTGTAGGTACTAGTGAACATCGGGAACAACTTTGACTCAGAACGGAGCACTTTCATCGCCCCGCGCAAAGGGATCTACAGTTTTAACTTCCACGTGGTGAAAGTCTACAACAGACAGACCATCCAGGTCAGCTGCCACCTGGGGGCCAGGCTCTCAGTAGGGGGTTGCTGGCCGTAGGGGTCTGTCGAAGGCTTTGTGGAAGCGGGAGGCAGGAATCAGCGGCACACGCCCGGGCTGCTCCGTGTGCCCGGGCTGCTCCGGGGACGGATAGCAGGGCCTCCTGGTTCTTTGGTATGCATCACTCCTTAAGCTGTCCCGGGCTTCTGAGACTCAATTACATCTCCAGAGACAGTTTTCTGGCCTTCGCTTTCTGGGCCCTTCTGTAAAGGTCCCTCGGTTTTCCTTAGTGACTCCGGGGACTTTCTGTAAGGGCTGTTAGCTCCACAGACAGCTACGGCTTCTGTAAAATCTCCTCCACGCCCGCTTTCTAGGCTCAACAATTCGCTGCTGCCCACAGCCTTTCTGGCGGCTTTTCCGCTTTTCTTCGGCCCTGTGAACAGAATCTCATTCTCTAACCCTACACCCGTCCTTTGCAGATTTGTTTTTAAACTTGAGTCTCTAAGGGTGGACAAAAGAAAAAGGTCGAGGTGGGGATGGGAGGGCTAGTGCTACTTCCTCCTGGTCCAGCCCTGTCCGGGCCAGCACCCACCCGCTAGCCAGGTCCCCAGAGACGTCTAGGTGACGTTAGAGCTCCCGCAGAGGCAGAAAGCGCGACTGGGGGCAGGAAGCCTGGCCCTAGGCCGACGCTGCTACCGCAAGGGCACAACCAGGCTATGGCGGGTGCAGCAGGATCTGGGGCGAGAATTGAGCAGATGGCTTAGGAACGGAGCCCTAGTGCAGTTTGACATGTCTCGGAATCCCGGAGAGCCACTACTGGCCGCTTCTAACCCGCTTGGCGCTGCGTCTTCTCTGTGCGCCCCCCGCCCCCGTGTCCTGGCTACAGACACCGGAGGAGGCCCGGGGTGCGGGTGTTTGCTTAGTAATTCAGGACGAGCGGGGAGCAGAGTTGCTCTGGGCGAGCTGGCGAGAGGCCAAAGGTCTCAGGACGCTACACCCACCTGCGGGTTTACCAAACTGCATTATACCCAGACGGGATTCGCTTGGCGCGCTCCTTTGAGAAACTGGAAGGAGCCCGACTGCCGCTCTGGAGAGGCAGACCCTTTCTCTACCTACATACGGTGTGGGTCCCTGTTAGAGCCTCCGCGGTGAGCAGATAAGCCCCGTTTCGCCCCGCACGCTCCATCAGTGCTCCCAGGCCCTTGCGGCAGCTAGCCAAGCACCTAGGTTGGCTCTCTCCCCCGCCGCTTGGGTACCCGCTTAGTGGCGCTTCTGATGCAGGCCTTTCTCTTTCTCAGGTGAGCCTCATGTTGAACGGGTGGCCGGTGATTTCAGCTTTCGCCGGTGACCAAGACGTGACCCGCGAGGCCGCCAGCAACGGCGTCCTCATCCAGATGGAGAAAGGCGACCGAGCATACCTCAAGCTGGAGCGGGGGAACTTGATGGGGGGCTGGAAGTACTCAACCTTTTCTGGATTCCTCGTGTTTCCCCTCTGACTGGCTCGTTACGGGAATGGAGGCAGGAGAAAGGCAGGAGGGGAGTGAGAAAGAGGCCGAAAATTACCGGGGCGAGGAAGCGGCGCCACCGGAAACTTCCTACGTGTTCCTAGCTACGACTGGGTACAAAGGTGCGCGCCGCCCGCGGTCCAGCTTCGTCCGCTCCCTTACTAAGAGAAGTAAATTTCGCTTAGCTCTGCACACTCTTATTTCCAAAAATAAACTCGCCTCCCCCAAGCCAGTCGCAGTAATCGAGGAAGAGACTGCCTTGTCATTGTTCCTTACCCACGTCCACGTCCCCAACAATTAACGAAGTAATGTGAAATGTTTCTCCCGACCCGACCTCCCCCCCCAACCCTGCCACTTACTGAAACTTAGTATGCCCTCCCCACCCCACCAGTTTGAAGAGGGGATCAGTTTGTTTTCTGTTTCTGTTTTTGAATGGGGCAGGTAGTTTTAATATAACAGGTTTTGCTCTTCAAACACCGTGCGAGTTAAGCTGTGGAGACTTGTCCTCAGCTGCTTGTCAGCGGAGGAAGGACTCGGCTTCGTGGTGACTGGTTTAACCATACATAAATATGTATCATTTGTACGCGAAGAACTCTTACGGGTGGACGCTGGCTGTATTCCGTATTTCTGTCCTGTTCGGAGTGATCGTGAAATCTAAGACTGCTTGGTGTTTGTTTTCTGATGCTTGTCAATGCCCTGTGTTCTGTGGCTCCACCAAACGCCAAGGAGGTTCTTCGGAACGCGTCCTCTCCCTCTGTAACATACGTGTGAATAGCCAAAATTTAATTTTGCTTTAATCCAATAAAGTCAAAGTGGGACTTTTATTTTTCTGAAACAGCTTTCTAAACTTCGCATTTTCCGGGTTGCGAGGTTGAGGGCTTGGGCTGCCCAAGACGGGCGGAGAAGCAGGAGACTTGGAAGATGCAACCAGGGAGGCCCCGGGCACAAGGGGAGTTCTGCGCTTCCTCCCGCAGCAGGCCGGTTCTGCCTTCCTGGTGCCCCCTGCTTTGAAGGAACGAGAGAAATCTGACCCAAATGCTGCAGGGCGTGACTGAGGGCCTGGAAGCATTGTTGTCCACCCTCAATTACAAATGCATCAGGAATTATCCCCAATTCTAGGACCCAAACCCGCCTGCCCTGTGTGACAGTGTCCTCGTGCCTACTGTCCCTGGATGTCTCCAGCTCTGTCGCTTCGCAGCTCCCGAAGCACCTTATATTTTGTACCAGCGCCTCTGAACCCGAGGTCCTCCCGCCAAACAACCCGGGCTCTCAGACCTGCGATTGCGCTCATTCGCAGGACTTTAAAAGGGTTCGTCCAGAAGTTTTGATTGTATCGAAACGTAATGTGAAAGCAAAATTGAAATAAACGACTTCGTTTTAAGCCTGGAGCGCTGAGCTTATGTTGGGCGCCGGTGACGCAACGCCAGAAGCGGGTGGAAGCAGAGGGCCCAGGACCGAGATCCGCGGCCCGGGTGGGCTTCCGTGGTTCTGGGCCCTCCTCGAGGGTTTTTCTTGGGCTGAGATTCAGATTCGAGTGTAAGTGGTTCTGGAAGGAAGGATGGGGGAAACGGGGTTAATTGCAGCGCGGCAGGCAAAATTTCTGGTATTTTTGCCTTCTGCTCCCACTGATCGCTTCACAAACACCACCAGGCTGGGAACTTCGGTCCTGTTTCTCAACCACACAGTCTAAGGTGCCTCGGGCAGCAGCGCCCTTCACAGACCTAGGGGCCCAGGGGACTGTGGGGGACCACAGGGGCTTCCGAAGTGAGGCATAATCAAGTGCCGGTTTATTCCATCCCCACAGGTCTCCCCGCTTCAGTCCCACCAGAAGGAAGAGGCGCCTTACAGGAATTCAGTGGAAAAGCGATTCTTTTCTTTCTTTCTTTTTAGTAAGAGCTTTGTCTTCAGGCTTCATGCTGGGAAGGACAGGTCAAGGACAATGGGAGTCTGCCAGGGAACTACCTTGACCAACCACTCAACTGTGCAGAGCCTACCCTCCGAAGTGGAGAGGCCAGCTCCACCGCTCCAGGCTTACATACAGGCTTTGGGGGTTAAGTGCCTGCCACACCTGCAAGCTGCTTCCAGAACACCTTGGAGCTCAGGGAGCTTCCAGAATGCTGTCCATTCCTCTTCCTGAGGACAGAACCATCCCAGGTCTAGTGGCCAGGGCTCTGATGCCGGGGAACCACCAGGCTGAGTTCCACCTGGGTAACATGGGCAAGTCTCTCTGCCCTCAGGGTGCCCTTCTGCATAAAGGCAGGGAGGAGCCTAAACATCTCCAGAGTCCCTCCTTCTCTGAGGACCCAACCATTCTCTGGTCTAGAACCAGGGGCCCGCAGGTTCCGTTGCCTCAGTGAGTGGCTGGCTGGCACTACACTAACTGGGAAGAGGGCAGGAGGCTGTGGGTCCCCACGGGGGCCCAGATCAGAGTCTCAGCAAGTGAAGGCAGAGCCAGTGGACCCGGGGGAAGAAGAGGAAAAGTGCTCTCTGATTCTGCTCCAGCTCTACCTGGCCCCTGGTAGGATCCGGTCCATGCTCCTGAGGTTGGCATTGAAACCCCTTAACATCTGGTTCCACATCTCTTCCTTCACATGTGCCCTTTGACTGTCCATCTCCCATGCCTCTCTCTGTGTACCTACACATGCTACCCCAGCCTTGAAGTTGAAGCTACTCTTTCTTTCCTTTGTTTTTCAAAATCCCATTCCACAGAGCACCTAAGTTCCGCTAAATGGCTGCCTTTTCTTGGGAGCTGCCCTAATCCACAGAGCACGTGATGCTCTCCCTAGGAGGCTTTCTGCCCACTTGCTCCTTGCCCTCCAGGGAGGGCCCCGTGTGGTGCTGGCAGGGAAGGAGCCACTTGGGGCTGGGCTTGTCTCCCTGTTGCTTTGAGTTTCACATGGAACGGCCACCCACATTGCCTGAGCAGGGTGGTGGACATCTACCGCACGCTCCCGGCATGTGACAATTGGGCATCTTCTCCTCTGGGGTGAAGATGGAGGCTGAGTATTCCTTTGATCCGAGACAGGTGAGCCAACCTATGCATGAAAATTGGGCCCTAGATGGGGTCATGAGAGACTCCAAGTGGCAGACTGGAGGTAGATGGAGAAGAAAGGCCCGGAGAGCCGCAGTTTCCTGGGGACTTCCTTCCTGTCCCATTCAGAAGCTTGGGAGGTGGGTGGGTGGGGCGATTTAAAAACCCACACCTTACTTTGGTTCCCTTTAAGGCTTTGAAGCGCCTCTGATCCTGGCAGATCTGGGCCGCACCTCCTGCTTTCATTTAAAATAAGTTGCTTCAGATCCCAACCTGTAGGGTTTCCAGGACCACCCCGAACATTACCTCACCTTGGGTCTGAAAAAAAAGTCTCCCTCAAGACTCTGGTCACCTTGCTTACTTCCTCCTGGTGAGCCTGGAGAGTGTCTGGTCACCCTTTCTACACCCCAGGACGGCAGAACTGACGCCAGGACGGCAGAATCGTCATCCCTTCTCTGCGCCCCTTTAAGGAGTGTGGAGTCTTACCTAGCTCTACCACCGCACACCTCTGCCTCTCCGAGGGCAGAGGTTAAAGCTTATTCTATGCGGCGATGTGAACTAAGAAGCATAGGCTGTGGTGGGGGAACCCAGGAAAGCTTCATAGAGTACACTGTGCCCAGAAGTCCTGTGGGCCGCTGGGTGAGGCCGCCCATCCAAGTTCCCTGGAGCCGCCAGGAGCTTGCAGCCCGGGGGGAGCCCACAGGGGACTGCGCCTGAGCATGAGCAGCCATGCTGCTGTGGATCGACTCCTAATGAGAACATAATTACCTAGGTGGAGAGAGCGCCTCACCCGCCTCTAATTGTCGTCTTAATGGGGTGGGAGAGGGGAGGGGCAGGCGCTGGCGGGGAGGAGGCGGACTAGGATCCTGGGGCCCTGGACCTAGGGGAAGGTCCCTCCCCCTCGGACTGCGATTTTACGCTACCCTCAGCACCATTTTGAGTCTTTCTTTCCTCAGCTCCAGACTGCTAAGGGTGGCCTACCGTTTCTGGTAGTTGATCTAACTTTTCTTATCCCAACCTGAGTTTAAGCCATTGCTTCCCAGCACTCAGCCGGTTCCCTCTCAACAGGAGCTTGTACATTCCCATCACAGTCACATCAAACAGTGAAGCCAAGGAAGGACCCGGAGAGGCCAGAGGGAATACTCAGGTGCACCCCCCCCCTTGAACTAATACTGTGGGAGAAACAGGTTTCCCAGAGATCATTGCAAAGGTCTCTTGAGTTCTTTGCATAGGGTTCATCATAGACTACTCTCTTCAGCCTCAGTTCCTCATATTCCAAATGGAGACAATAGAGTCTTCACTATGGGAAAAGATAGTCCATGCTCATCCCCAGTAGATGTATCGTAGGTGCTGTATGAGTGGTAGTGACAATAAAGAGTAGGAGAGACAGCTGGCCTGGTGTGCCACACCGTCACAGGGGTGGGCCACAAAGGAACATCTAGGAGAACTTCCACTTTGGTCCGATTGGAAATCTGAAACCAGGTTAAAGAGCATACAGCATACAGGGCATTGTGGGTTCAGGACCGGATGCTGTGAGGGACCTCCGCCAGCACAGGTCCCCGGCCCAGCCCTCACTCCAGATACTGTTTTTCATTCCTGTTGCTTATAGATTTGCATTGTTCAATGCTGATGAATGTTTCTGTCTGCAGGTCTGTGTGCTCTTTGTTAGACCCCGAACACTGTTCCCTGCTGGCATGTGGCTGTGTGCCTTTGTAGGTGATTCCTCCTTCCAAAGTTGTATCTTCCTCATCCTCTCCTTCCTTGGCTCTGTGCTCATATCACAGTACCTGGTGGAGGGCCAGTGTCCTGTGATGATGTCATGATCTAAAGCAAACTGTGCCTGGTACAACTGTAGGGTATGAGCACAGTCAAGGAAAATGTTCTTTGGAGGAGTTCTTGGAGTCCGAAGTCCCTCCTCCCTGATCCAGCACCCCCAATTTCCCCAGCAGGAACACTGATATGGAAATATCCCCCAGCCTCAGGTAGCTGGGAAGACCTTCCTGCCCTCTCTACTTACTCTCCCCATTTCAGTAGAGGATGAGTCTGTTCCCAGGAAGTCCCAGTTGTGACCCTAGGATGGCAACAAGCAGGGGCAATAAGAAGGAGGCCAAGCAAAGATGTGTGGGACGGTGTTCAGATCTGCTAGGTTTTGTCTCTGAGAAAGTGCTTTCCTGTGCATAGATGAGACTGCCTGTGAAGTTGTGTGGACACATTCCAGAGCCCAAGTATGTCACCATTCTGAGGATATGGTGATGGGTGTGACGTAAGGGACAAGAGACACTTTCCTTGGTGTGATCAGGCTCCAACCTGACCTTAGGACTCTGCCTCAGCTCCACAGAGCTTTTCCTAACTGCGATCCAGCACCTACCCCTTGACTCCCTATCTGACCTCTTAGATTACACCGGCTCACAGTAATACATAAGAAAGGTATCTCTTGATGAACAGATAAATAGTTATAGGTAGTCCGGTTATGGGACTCACTGGATTGTAAGAGTCTGAAGTACAGGCTCAGCATTAGGCACCTCCCTAGATCCCCACTGTCCCTCTGGACAGCCACATTAGTGTTAGAATGGAATTGTATTGCATCAGTTGTCTGTAGTGGACCTCCAATTCATCTTCCCCTGCTGCTTGCCCAAACCATGCCCAACATGCCGTGAGCTCCATAGTGGGCAGGGCCTAGGCTTGATTTTTCTTAAAGGACAAGAACAACATTGTCTTCCCTCCAGCATAAAATACCATGAATCAGGACCAGTAAGATGGCTCACCAGCAAATGTGTTTGCCACACGAGTGTG